ATATATATATATATATATATACGCATACACGTCTCTCGCCGCCCTCTCCTCGAGGTTTCTTTCTCGCACATTGGAAGATAGACGAAGATGCAGCAGCGCAGGAAGAATACAAACACACAGAGACTCCCCCCGCCAGAAAAACAAAACACAAAAAAAGAAGAAGAAGAACGCGCCAATAAAGAAGAAAAAAGAAGAGGACACAACGGTGTGGCATACAGCACATACACAATATAAGCTGCATTTCTGTTCCACATGATACTTCCTCCACCTTTTCCTTCGTTTTTTCTTCTTTTCTTCCTCCACTTTTCGGTTCTCAGTTGTACACCATGTATTTCGCCGTGGCGCTGAACTTGTGCAGCCCCTTGATCACCTTGTTCACGGCGTCGAGGAAGTCCTTCTCGTTGATTGTCTTGCGCCGGGCGCGGATGGCGAACATGCCGGCCTCCGTGCACACCGACCGCAGATCGGCGCCGGTGGCGTTGGGGCAGAGCCGCGCAATCAGCTCGTAGCGAATCGCCTTCTCGCACGACAGCGACTTGGCGTGAATGCGGAGGATCTTCGAGCGCCCCTCGAGGTCCGGCAGGCCGACCTCAATCCGGCGGTCCATGCGGCCGGGGCGCGTGAGTGCGGGGTCGAGCGTGTCGGGGCGGTTCGTCGCCATGATGACCTTCACGTTGCCGCGCGAGTCGAAGCCGTCCATCTGGTTCACCATCTCGAGCATCGTGCGCTGTATCTCGTCGTCATCGCCGTCGCCGCCACCACGTGAGCCACCGACAGCGTCTACCTCGTCAAAGAAGATGATCGCCGCCTTCTTGGTGCGGGCAAGCTGGAAAATCTCGCGTATCATGCGAGCGCCCTCGCCAATGTAGCGCTGCACCAACTCAGAACCGATGACGCGGATGAATGTCGCGTCAGTGCGGTTGGCGACAGCCTTTGCAAGCAGCGTCTTGCCGGTGCCCGGCGGGCCATACAGTAACACGCCCTTCGGCGGGTCAATACCGAGCTGCGTGTACCTCTCCGGGTGCGTAAGCGGAAGCTCTACCACCTCGCGGATGCGGTCAATCTGCTCCTTTGCACCGCCCACGTCATTGTAGGTAACGTCCGGCTTTTCCTCCACCTGCATCATCGACACCGATGGGTCGATGCGCGGCGGCAGCGGAATCTCAATTTGAATACTGGAGTACCCCATCAGCACACCGACGCGCATGGACTCCTCAATGTCCTCTGGTGCCACGCGGTTGCCGAGCTTCATCACATACTTGGCGTTGTCGCGGATGTTCACAACATACTTAGCGTCCGCTTGTCCCTTGTTGAGAATGCGAGTGCAGCGGCCAACGTGCAGCTGATTCTCGGAGTGCATGACCTCGTGGTCGCTGTTGAGGTCCCACTGTACCGGTGGGGCGAGACCGAGTTCAGTGTCCTTCTCGCCTGCTAGCTTATTCACCTCCTCTGCCTTTGTCTTGACGAACTCCTCCAACTCCTTTACGGGGGCGTGGTATGGGCCGGATCCGTAGAGCTTCAACAGCGCAATGTCGTCCTTGTCGAGGGGAATAATCTCCTTCTCCTCCTCGTCCTTGTCCTTGACGCGGACGGTGTTGGTGGTTTGGCAGGAGCCCTTCTCGTTCCCCATCTTACGGTTGCCACAAATCAAGTTTCTTGTTCCCTGCAGATTTTGGCGCTTCGTGTGGTGTTGATCTCTCTTTCTTTTTTGTTTTCTTTGCTTCCTCGCTTTGGTGATGCACTACCTGCTCGTTTAGCAACTGCTCGTGTGGATTCTTGGTGCAAGACTCTCTGTTCGTCTGTGTGATGTGTATCTTTTGTGCACTGCACGTACCTGGGCGCAAATAAGAGAGGCCCGCACACACACACAGAGAGAGAGAGAGAGAGAGAGGAGAAAGAGACACGGAAGTACATACATATAGAGATACACTAAAAAGCACTAAGAGCCGATCCATTTGCATCTCACCCTCGTCATCTGCCACACCGTTATTGAATCATTAGGAGAATGATGCCCTCAACGCACAGACACACAGACACACACAGAGAGAGAGAGAGACTCCCATACACGCACGCTACTTTTCATCCTAGCACCACTCATACCGCGCATGTCCGCCATAAAAAGTACGCAGTTACTACGGTTATGCCTTGGGAACGTACTTTGGTTTTCCCGCACTCCACGGCACGTAGCGGTGCTTCATCATGTGCTTGATGCGCCCGCCCATCTGCGTCACTGTCAGCACAATGAAGTACAGCAGAAGAATCGGCCAGTAAACAGGGATGTCGAGGAAGTTGAACATTGTCAGAAAAAGGCAAATAGATACAACTTTGCACATGCTTCGCCACACCACAAACTCCTGCACCCGGGGGACGAACGGGCGAAACTCATCTTCACTACCGCCGGCTGTTCGTGGCAGCTGCGCTTCATCCGTGTACTCGTCAGCTGCGAGCGGCGTAACGAGCAGCAGCGTCAGATACAGCAGGTGAATGCCCATCGCGTACGTTATGACATAGAAACCACCGTGGTAGAAGACGCGCAGCATATAGAACGTCAGCAGGAAGGCTAACATGACCCAACGCATGGCTCGGTGTGGCACAGTCTTGTCGAGAAAGCGCTGATACGCTATACCAGCCTTGTGCTTAAATTCATTAATGGCCGATGTCTGGCCAGTAATGTCTCTCGGCGGCATCGCACTCAAGTCTTGCGAATTACCAGGGAATTATTTTTCCTAACCCGTCAACGTCGGTTCTCTTTCTCTTTATGAAAGGATTATATGTGTACGCAAATGTGCAGTGTGTGTAGACTCTGCTGTGTGGGATGTGAACCCAAAGAGCTTTTGCTTTCGCTGTTACTGCTGCAAGCGGGTAAGAGGAATGAAGCGGCATGAAATAAATTTAGCGCAGTTGAGCACGCGGCATTGACAGAAGATGAAAGGGGCAACCACAGCGCCAGAGAGTGAGCGGCAGAGCCGCCTACGGTCAACATACGACGCGCACACACGTACTCACAAAGAAACGCAGTGCGCCTGTGCGATTAGCCGGAGCCGACGACATCCTCTTCCGATCACCGAAAAAAAGGAAGAATGCTATCGGTCCTTACACAACAAGAGCAACACCGACCACTGCGCTAAACTCATTCATCCTCAAAGACCCGATCCACTTGCAGTCGCTGCGTGCTGCACTTGTGGTCCGCGCCCCCACGGCCGGACCTGTCGAGCTCCTCCACCCACCCCGCCCTCGCGTCCGGGTGGGCGTCACAAAAGGGGAGGTACGGCTTGATGTCGAGCACGGGCGTGCCGTGCAGCAGGTCGTGGTCGGCGATGTGCACCTCCAGCCCCCGCACCGCAACAAGCCGAACACACGAGAGGCCAATGAAGTTGGGCCGGTGCGGGCTTCGCGTCGCGAATACGCCACGCAACTCACTGTCGCGCGGCGGCACAAGCATCGTCTTGAATCCGGCGGAGCGCTCCGCACCCTGGCGCCGCTTCCGTCCGCCAGGCACCACCTCCGCGCCGCTCGCCTCGCACTCATCATCAGCAATGGCATACGAAAAGGAGAAGAGCACCCAAATGTACTCGAATCCGCGAAGGTCACGCACGGCGTTCTCTAACCCAACCCGCAGTTTAATGACAGCGGTCTGTGGCGTGAAGTCCGCCGTGTGCGGCTGCCGCGGTGCCGCGATGTGCGTACGCATAAGACTGTGCACCACACCCACACCGCAGATGCTGTACGGCTGTAGCCGATCCGGGCTCAGTACCGTGCGCACCAGCCGGTTGGCGTGCAGCACAGCGCGTTGAAAGGCTGCCTCGTAGGCTGATACGTCGTGTGACTTTCGCTGCAGCCGCTGCTCCATGCACGCCTCGACATCTTCTGGCGTCGGGAGACGGTCAAAGAAGAACACCTTGCTGGCAACAGCGGTGACGTGATCCAGAGGTGGGGCATCATCACCAGCCGATACAAGCGACGCCGGTGGGTCAAAGAGGCGTGCGGTGATGGTGTTAGATGCCGCATCGGCCTCCACCACTTCTGCTGGCCAGTACGGCAGTCTAGGCGGCCGCACCCACACAATATCGCCAGACATAAAGTAGTGCGCCCGCACACCGAAACGCCTTGGCCGCACCTGCTCCGCTCTGCTGTTATCGTCATTCCTGGCGTTGCCGCCATCACTGTTGTCGTTGTCGCCACAGCGCTCCCGCTTCAAGGCGCGTGTATCGACAGGCAGACTCGGCGCAGCGCCGTCGGGCTCCATGAGTAACGCTGCTGGGGTGCGAGATGGTGGTGAATGTGCCGCTGTGGCGTAGGAACAATGCCCCTTTGTCAGCCGCCTGGAAAGAGCAGACAGCAAAGGGCCAGGAAGGTAAGAAAGTGAGGGGGGCGCATGAAAGGAAAAACAAACCACAAGCCATTCCACGTACATATACAGCCATCAAGCGAGACAAACCAAAAAAAAAAAAAAACGGAACAAAAAACAACAACACCGACTCACCGTTGCATTGCTTCACTGGCGGGCTGGTGCAACGCAGTGGG